GATCTGGCTAATCTACATGCCTCCGTCGAAGGAGGCATGTAGTCTAGACACACCCTTAATGGGAGAAGCTGTCTGTGATGCCAGAGACCTCTTACAGAGCATCAACTGTTTCTCTAATATTCCCCTTGCAATCATAGCTTTCCTCTCAGTATATGTGTGAGACCCTCCAAAAAGACAGGCTGATTTTATAGACTTAAAATAAAGCAAACCGAAACTTGCTGGAAAGTAGCTGTAGAAACCTAAATTTCTTCTGCCAGCATTAATGGAGAAGAGGCATTGCAATACACATCGGCTGTGTCTAGACTGGCAAGTTTTTCCGCAAAATCATCTGCTTTTGCGGAAAAACTTGCCAGCTGTCTACACTGGCCGCTTGAATTTCCGCAAAAGCACTGACGATCTCATGTAAGATTGTCAGTGCTTTTGCGGAAATACTATGCTGCTCCCATTCAGGCAAAAGTCTTTTTCCAAAAAACTTTTGCGCAAAAGGGCCAGTGTAGACAGCAGAGATTTGTTTTCTGCAAAAAAGCCCCGATGGCGAAAATGGCGACCGGGGCTTTTTTGCGGAAAAGCGCATCTAGATTGGCCACGGATGCTTTTCCGCAAAAGCACTTTTTGCCAATCTAGATGCGCTTTTCTGAAAATCATGCCAGTCTAGACGTAGCCATCATGTTTAGGGCAGTACAAGATAGTAAAGTCTGTGAGTACTAGGATGGACTTAACCATAAGAAAATTTAAGGTGAAAAAAACCAAGGCTAGTGTCTCTCTCTTTTCTGTGCTATTCATTAGATTGTTGATTAGTCTCCCAAGGGAAGTAGTATGAGCCTGAGTTTATGACATTTAAAACTGTACTGGACAGAATGTTAGAGGATGTGATATAGGGAACAATTTTGCATTGGCCAGTAGGTAACATGATGAGTTTGTTGCTTTTCTAGTTTCTTAGATGCTAGGGAGGATGCTAATGTAGATGGTAAGAGATTTCACGGTACACATAGAAACAAAACAGGAGACAATCATAGCATCCTGGTCAATGTTCATTCAGTTAATAAAAGAAAGAATAATGCCCACAGTTACCTCTGAAGGGCTGATGAGCACATAATAGTGTAGAGATGCAAAAAATGATAGCACCTTAGGAATCTCTAAATTAGACAGATAGCTTGGGATTGTCCCAAAGTAACCAGCATTGGAGTGGGAGGTTTGCTAATGGGAACAATGTTAGGCCAACATGGGTGCTTTTGAAAAGCCCTCTCATACATATGCTATGATATATTGCACAAACACAGAATTCAATGTGTTGAGAAGTGCCTTGGACTAGCCCAGCATATGAAACATATTTCTGTATGTAAACTCTGTTTCTGCTATATAGATGCCAGATACACGTTTAAAACAAAGAAGGCCTAAACCAAAAGACAGGCTCTGCCTCTGTCTCCATAGAGGTGTAGACAACATCACTGCATCCAAACATCTGCAAACTTTGGGGAAGTTCAGATTCTGATGTGATCTGGAGTCATTTCTTCTCTTTATTAAAAGGAAATAATTTCTGTATCGCTGGTGCTTTAAAAATATTATTAGCTACTTTAAAAAGCAAAACCAAAAAGGTGTTCAAGGGTTAAATGAAAAATATGCCATTAAAAGAGATTCATTGGGTATTCATAAGCACCTATGGAACTGTCACTGGTGTTACCATTTGGCACAATGTACCAAGGTGCAGAGGAGTATTGGAAATGTTACAGTGCCCTTGTCCTATGACAGGATCTCTGGCTATGGTGACTAAACTATCAGCAACTCCTAAGTGGCAGCAGATCTGAAAAGGCAAAAGACTTCATTGGATTAGATATTTATGCTAAAGATAATGTTGAATTCATAGAACCTACTCCGCAGCCACAACACAATCCCCAGGCATTATTATGAGAGAGAGAGGCAGATTTTATCTGCATAGAGCAGCTGCAGATGAGACAAATGAATTAACAGCGTGAAGATCTTTACAGTTACTTTAGTTAACTGGTGACTGATGGGCATGAGCACACCTTGCTGACTCTGATCTAGATTCTCCAACTTTTAGTCAAGTGAGCAGTTCCATTGTCTTCCTGCATGTCAGAGTTGCAGAATCAGTCCTTAATTCTTCTGTTCCCTCCAAGCCTTAGTTTCGTCTTCTCTCTGTTTTAGTGTATGTGTGTGGGTTGGAGATTTTCAAAGCACTTCATCCCAGCTCTGGGATGGGGCCAAAAATGAGGAGCTCTAGGATGGGGCTACTGCATGCAAGGGTCTTAGTCTGGGGCCCTGGGCTGCAGTGGCTAAAGCCAGTTTCCTAATCTAGCCCTGGCTGTTGGTCCACAGGTAGATTGCAGAGCATGCTGGTCGTGTGGTGTAGGCTACTCCTCCTTAATTCCAGTTGCTAAATAGCATTAAAAGAAGATTGAAAACACAGGAGTACTTTCCTATTGTTACATTTCTATGGAGGATGCATAGATAGCTATAGATAGTTATGTGCGGATATACAGGTATAGATAAACACCAAAGTTTCAGCCAGAACAGCCTTAATAAGGGAATCATGAAAATGTGTGTTGGAAAAAATGGCTGTTTTATTACTAGAGTCAATAAAACATAGATTAAATGTGATTATCTAGACAAATACTTAGAACTGGCATAATGTTTGGCTCATGAGCTATTTATAGTCAGGTCATCCAGTTCAGTCCCCTGTACTTAGTTAGTAATACAAAATAATTGCATCTTGAATCGAGGATGCTATGCCATGACATCACAACATTTGCACGATCTCATCTAGACATGGGCAAGCTCCTGATGACACAGCATCATCATACCGTAATGCAACATAGTGAGATCAGCTGCAACTTTGGTGTAAAGTTCTGATCTCAGGCTTTATCACAGAAGCCAAACAACCCAAATGGCGTCACTGGTTACATTCCAAAGGGAGGCTGTTTTAATAGCAATCTCAGGTAGAAGCAGACAGATTTAGTGTGGAATGGAGAGCAATTAAAGCTGGGTCCAAGCCAAAACACTCTGGAGAAATTCATATCTGGATGTAGATCCAGATTAGAAGTTTGTTGGTGACTCTCCTATCTTGTAATGAAGGGAACCCAATCACTTGTGATCATTGTGAAAACTTAGATATGGTTCCTCACTGTGTACCTTGAGCTCACTGTTAACAATAAACTAATACAAGGAAACCAGCAGCACTATAACAGCAAAGAGTTCTCCTATTTACTATAATCTGTCTGTCTCTGAAGTTCTGGGATGCTTCTCACCAAAATGAGCTGTTGGGGAAATGGAAATTGACTCAACTATGTTGTGCTACAAATTGCCCTATTAACTAGGTAAACGACCTGTCCTATTATCTATCAGACAGAGGAAAAGTCAATTATCCTCACAAACAGATCCACTAGATCAGTGTATGGAGCAACCTACTTTGAGATATTCCTCTTACAGCATCCAGATCAAGCTCTGGGAAGAACTATTCAGGGAAAAGATCTGATGAGTCCGAATTAGATTGGTATCAGGGTTCTGTGTGGTATTTTAGCTTTTAGGAACCTGGAACACAACACTCATCCCAATCTTCAAACAGCACCTTTAATGGTATCATTGCCATGAAATAGCTGAGCATCTTAAAGGACACTTCAGACCAAGGTTTAATGAGCCCAAAAGCAGCGTGTCCCTGTCCCCCCTTTTGGGTATAATAATCTACAGAACGGGATACTCACTATTGGGCAGAGTCATTAAGTTGATATTCCCGGGACCGGTTGAAGCATTCCTGGATTCCAGAATCTGCCCAGAGTCTCATCATAGCTGACAGCAGCTCTGGAGAGAAGGGCTCTGTGTCTTCCATTCGGCTTACTACATCACATACCATCTTAGCATCAGCCTAGAGAGGAAAGAAGCAACAGGTCACACATGATGCTCAGATGTATTCAGGAACTGGGAGAATTGCCCTCTCCTTCTGGAGACTCCTAAATAGTTCAGAGAGTACTCAGCTAATAGTCCACATGCTTCAGAAGGATGTTTCAGGATGCACAGCAGAGTCATCCACTAGAGGAGCTAGAAATAAAGCCAACTGAGGAAGTGTCAAAGTGATGGTGAGGAAGTGATGATCTTCTAGTACACATTTGCACAATCCACACTATACAAAGTTATGGTAGGGAACTATGTCCAATTAAAAAGTGAACCAATATGTGTAATTTATGTAAACTGCATGGGCAATACAAATAACCCAGATACATGCATATGTAACTGAACTGTAAGTTACTACTAAAGTGAGGTTTGAGGTGAGACAAATTCTGTTGGTTTAGTCATGTGAAGTAAAAAAATAAAAAAGCATCTGAAGTAAAAAAAGCATCTTTGTGTATGACAGGCTAATTCAGCCCTAGTAAACTGTTTCAGATTTGTCTACTTTTGTTTCCTATTCCCCGTGATTTCACATCAACATATGATGACATTATTGATAATTTATAATAATAAGTACACATTGTATATGTACAAGATATTACACAATTCTGATGAAAATAGATCTCCTATCATGATGTTGCATGATGACCACTAACAAGAGGTGACAAGAGGTGAATGAGCTAGAATGGGGGAGGGGGAAAATTACTTTAAGATGTTCTCTTACAACTCTATGTTCTGGCGCTGACTTTTCAAGGCTTTTTGTGATGTGTACTCTAAGATTTTCCTTCCTCTTCTTACCTTATTAATAGGCCTAGTAGATTTTTTAAAAAGAATTTTGATAGATAATACTGATTATTTTTAAACTTTTCCCAATTTTCATCAATTTAAATAGTCACAGTTGTGCAAAAATGTGTATTAAGCTGCCTCTCAATTTTCCTCAATTTGAATTTTCACAGTTGTGTGAAATGATGTGGGGTGTCAGACAAAAGATGGGGGGTCAGACAAGAATCATGTAATGACTGTCAACAATGAGATTCAAAGGGTTACAGCTTCCTCACTGTTAAAACACAAATAGTCAATATCGTATACCAAAACATACAAAGCAAATAGCCTTAAACTGAGTTCTCAAGAAGCATTTTTCTTACTTTATCTGTACATTTAGATGCTCATCAATGGAAATATTTTTCATCAGTTTCTGTGTATAGTGAAACAGACATTTATCTATATTCACCAGTACAAATTGAAGCATTCCAAGAATACTTTCGAATTAGCCTATTTGCTGAGCTCTTATGTTCTCCTCCTACCTGTCCCATCCCCTATACAGGTGGCAAGGTAGGGCTTTGGAACAAGCATTCGCATATTTCAATGGTGGCTCTGGGTCGTACAGCTGACGTGTCATTCCGCTGGCACAGCAGATTGGCAACCACTTGCTCTAAGTGCAGTCAGGCACTTACATCAGCTTGGGTGCCATGCATGACGCTGCTGTTCTCGTCTCTGAAGTTGTCCAAAGAAGCATACCTTGCTCTGTAAACCCACCCCTGTTACCATGCCCCTGTCTGACCTCACTGCCAGCTGGACAGTCCCTAAAGCTGCTGGCCAACATCTACCCAGAGTGCCCTGAAGCTCACTGTCAAACTTCATCAGCTGCCTGCTTACAGTTCACTAATTGCCATCGATAACCTCATCCCCCTGAAGGAGGAAGACTGACAGGGAACGTTCTTAGCTGCACGAAAAGGCTATGACAAGAGGACTGACCAGCCTAAAGATTGGCACGAGCATATTAGAGCTTTTCCTTGCTAGGTCACCTGTTCAGATCCCAACCTAGGGCAGTAGTGACTGAAAGTCATAGCTCACTAATAGCAGTTTGGGGGCTGAAATCTAGTCCTCAGTCAACACTATCCCAAAACATCCACCCAGATTGACAGCCTCTGCAGACATGCAAGAGCATGGAGGTGGAAGCTCTATGATCTGGGGAGATGGTAGATCGGGGTGGGCAAAAGGGCCTCTACGGGCCGGATCCGGCCCACCAAAGGGGTTGATCTGGCCCATGGAGGTCCTGCCATTCCCTTGCCCCAGGCCAATCAGGGCCTAGGGACAGAGGAGAGTGTGGCACTTAGCATCAACTCTGGAAGTTGATTCTAAGCACTGTGCACCAAAGGGCAGGGAGCAAGAGACTTCCCCTGCCCCCAGGCAAATCAGGCTTGACCAATCAGCTTCTCAGCACAAAGTGTCCTGCTGCCTTGCCCCTGGCCTGCAAGGAGTGTGCGGTGCTTAGAAGCTGTGGGGCTGCTCAGCTGGCAGGTGACTGTAAGCGCAGCACTCCCTTGCAGGTGGGGGCAGACTTTGCATACTCCCTCTGCCCCCAGGCCCTGATTAACCTGGAGGTAGGGGAAACTCGCGAAGTATCTCACCACTAGGGGCCTAGAGCAGTGGTCTCCAACCTTTTTACACCTAAGATCACTTTTTAAATGTCAGGGTAAGCTAAGATCTACCCCTATCTCTTCCCCAAGACCCCACCTTGGGGGCCAGGGTAGGGTTCAGGTGGGTGTCTGGCTAGGAGGCAGGAGCAGAGTGCTGGTGGTGTCTGGCCAGGGTGTTGGTGGGGGCTGGAACTGGGGGCAGGGTGTTGATGGGGCCCTAGGCAGGGGGCAGGGTACTCGTGGGGGTGTGGGCAAGGGGGACAGGGTACTTGTGGGGGTCTGTGTTTGGGGAGGGGACAGGGACAGCTCAGCCACAGCTGTGCACCAGGTCCGGGTCTCAGGAAACACATGCGCTGCTCCACCCTCTCCCCAAACAGCCGGCGCACTTCCTGAAAAGCCAGGTCTGTTGTGCAACGAGGGACTTCCTTCCCCCTGCTGTCAACTGCTCAGAAAGCGTACACTATCGTGGGGAGCGGAGGAAGAGTGCACACACTTTCTGAGAAGTTGGAGCTGGCACGGTCCTGGGACTCCTACTCCTCCCTCCCCACCCATGCGCAGGAAGGCAGCAGGGGGAAGGAAGTCCCCGGCGGTGCAACAGACCCAGCTTTTCAGGAAGTACACCTGCTGTTTGGGGAGGGGAGGAGCAGCCCGATGCCTCTTTAGATGCTGGGTCTGGAGTACAGCTGCAGGACTTCCCTTCCACGTCACAGAAGCTGGTGCTACCTCCATTTTTGCAGGAGGTAGCACCAGTGTGGGCTCTTCCTTGGGGTGAGGGGAATGACGGGGGGGCTGGGTAGCCTCACGATTGACTGGTCATGCCCCCCCGATTGACAGGTTGGTGACCATAGGCCTAGAGGGAGCCTTCAGCTGTTCAGAACAGCTGGCATTCCTCTCTGGGGGGGAGGGCAGTGGCAAAGACTTCACGCGCACCGCCTGCCCCAGCCAGAACAGGGTCTGTGGGCAGGGTAGCACGGAAATGTCCTGGTCTCACCCCTTCTGCCTGCGGCCTCACCTGGCAGCCTGGGGCCACATGGCCTCTGGGGGGGTTGCCCCAGCCCCTGAGCCCCTCTTGGGATGTCCCTGTTTGTGGATGATTCTAAGCTGGGAGAGAGGCAGAGTGCTGGAGGGTCCAGAGTGACCTGGACAAATTGGAGGATTGGGCCAAAAGAAATCTGATGATGTTCAACAAGGACAAGTGCAGAGCTTTGCACTAAGGACAGAAGAATCCCTTTAATTGCTACAGGCTGGGAACCGACTGGCTAAGCAGCAGTTCTGCAGAAAAGGACCTGGGGATCACAGTAGACGAGAAGCTAAATATGAGTCAACAGTGCGCCCTTTTAGCCAAGAATGCTACCAGCATATTGGGCTGCATTAGGAAGAGCCCTGCCTGCAGATTCTTATGCCTAACCCATCAGACCCTATGCTGTCACAACCGTAGAGGGAATGGTGGACACTAATGTCATGGATGAGCAATCATGAGGGATTTTCAGCCACTTTCTGGTTTCATTTACACGGTGCAAATCTGGAGTCCCTGCATTCACTTCAATACAAGGGTTTTCTCTCACTGGAGTAGCCTACATTTAGAATGTGGAACCTGGAATTTCAACTCCTCATTGCAGAAGTGTGACTAGTTACTATGTTCTCCTATGGCATCAGTCCAACTGCCCAGAAAGTTTTTCTTAAGGTTTTGGCAGCCAAAGCAATTTTCGGCAAGTAGGAAATGTCGTCTGCATGTGGACAATTCCAGATGAACGAATGCATTTTGAGTGTAATTCACCCTTCTGCAAAGAACCAGAACAGGCCTTACACAACATTCAAAATAAGGCTTACGTGGGATTTAAATAGTTACTAGGCTTTGTGCTGGCCCTCTACACATTTGGAGAACTGTAAATGGGTCACATTGCAGTCCACTGTGCTGAGAACAACATGCAGCAGCTGAAGGCTATTTTGGAAGGTTTGCTCTTGGTGACTGGGTTTCTGAATGTTAATACACTGCCACACAAACAGCTGCAGATCCAGCTAGTTCCACACAGTACTGCTTAAAAAGCTGTTCACTAGAGTTATGTGATTCATTTCTTGATGGGGTCTCTGGCCTTGGTAAAGTTGCTGAGTAACCATCACTTGTAATGTCTTGCCTCAAGTACTTAAACTGGCCCATGGGAGAGAGTCCAGTGCATCAGCTGCGCAGTATTTGGTTATTCCCGACACAGCTGTTGCATTAGCTGAGCTTCGGATAGGAGCATCCAAAGCAGCTGGCAGGAAAGAACAACAGGAGAAGGCATTGACAAGGTGAGCCAAGTTGCTAAGAGAATGGCAAGACTATTGCAGAGAAGTGTGGGGAGGCCTAGAGCAGCTTGGCTACTAGTAGAGGCAACCCCACATCTTCAGCTGGGGTAAATTGTCATAGCCCCATTGAAGTTTATGGAATACCAACAATTTACAACAAGAAGAGGATTTGGTATTTGGACTTTACAATGCAATTCAAAGAGGAAAGCAAGCTGAAACTGATCAGCAGCGGCTGAATCAGGACTCCTGGGGCAGAGCAGCTGGGGTGCTGCCG